TAAATAAATCAATTAAATTATTTAACAGGATATTTATGATATGATTTATAATGCTTTTATGAAGATTACAGAGTAAAATATAACGGAGATAAAACGACTTTCTTGATAATTTATAACTTTATTATTTTAAAATTGTAAATTACTTAATTAAGTAAGAGAAAGATTGTGTAAATGGATGCAATCAATTTCAAATTTGTATTATAGAGGATTAAACAAAACCAAAATTTTTAGATGTTCCAATCTGATTTCATTTTGAATTTCAAATTAATATTATCTGACTCTGTTTTATGTTTAAAAAAAAATCTGAACTAAAGAAAGTAGTAGTCAAATGATAAGAGGTTTTTAAATTTAGATTTTCAATTTGAAAATAGACAAGATTTCTATGCAATCTGTTTCTTTAATAAACATGATCTATTGCAATTAGGTAAAGATACATGTTATAGAATTTGCCTAATTCGAAATTTTTGATTTTATGGTAAAGAGATTTTTTTAATGGAAAATGAGAAAATTTTTACTTTTACAAAATTGTCATGCCGAATTTTACCTAAATTAACCCTATTTCTATTCAATCTTTTTTTTTTAATAAATAATTGATCTGTTACAATTAGAAAAAGATATATGTGATATATTTTGCCTAATTTGAAATTCTTGATTTTGTGGTAATCGGTTTATTTTTTAGTAAAAAAATGTGAACTTTTTTTTTTAATTTTGAAAAATTGTAAGCATCAGTTGAAATTTACCTAAATTAAATTCACAAAACCCATGAATTTAGGGTGCATGTATAGATGAACGATTTTTTGGAAATAATTTAAAAAGAAAATTCAAAAACTATCAAAAAAATAATGCATTAAATTCTAGTTGTTACTATTTTTGGTAAATATGATCTCTCTTTATATGTATATATATATATATATATCCCTATATAGAGAAGGGATCATATGAGAATGGTAGATAGTGAAAGAAATAAGAATAAATTTGGACCATTTGATACATTAGATCAATGGTTAAAATGAAGTCAAAGATTAATAATTTCAGTCAAAATCATGATGGCAGTTCTGTAATTATGTGATAAATATTGGATTAATGATAAACTTTGAGGGTAATGATGTAATTTCAGTCACCAACTAACCACTCTCTTTCTCTCACTGGGCCCACCACACATCTCTCACTTTCTCTCTTTTTCACACAGACGCACACACACATTTACACACATTTTTCCGGCCACCGGTTATTTGCCATCCACCGTGACCACCGTCGCATCACAGCCCGTCATCGTCACACCCGCCACCAAAAAATACACACACAGAAATCCAACAGTCGAAACACACACACACGCACCAAAGCACCTCCAGCCCATATGTCGACCGCTAACCGTCCACCAACCCACTGCCGACTCGAAGCTCTGTCGATACGGTCATTTCCAACACCAACTCCGCAGAAGCCCCGCCGTTCCAGTCACTTCATCACCAGGTCTATGGTGGAGTCAGTGGACGTCATCGGGATGGACACCGTTCGAGGTCGCGGAATCTGGCTTCTATCCGTCGGACGCCGTCGATATGGACGCGGGAGTCTCGAGGCGTCACCGACGAACTGCCGTAGAAAGAGCTCTGCAGAGCCATTGTTTGTGAAGTCCGGCTTCGATTCCGTCGTCAATCTCGTCTCAGCGTCCGGCGTGGAAAGGCCCCGTCAAATCCCAGCGTGGTGGCAGCCGAGAACTCCGAGGATTCAGACGCCGTGAGGTTGGGCGTGTTGGTGTTATATACTTAAGTTTTGCTTTAGTGGATATTACACTTGTT